AAATAGTATTATTTAATGTTCATGGTTTTAATGTGTGCACTCTATTTCCTTGCTAAAAAGTGTTTTATAACTAAAATTCCTAAAAGTCTGGCTGCAGTAACAAGCTCGTACCTTGATGTCCTGATAATAGCTGGTTTAGGGAGTCCAGTGGTACCAGATGTATAAATATACAGCAATATATCTGAAGAACAAACCATTCACAGCAAATTAATGTCTTTGCTGCGCAGTAAGGATGATTGAAATCTTTAAAAGTGTGAAGAGCTTGCTATGCATAATTCAAGTTATATGACAGTACGTGAAAGAGTCAAGGATAGAATAGATTTATGGGAAGCATGGAAGGCGTAACAGTGAGAGTACTCGCCTCTCACCAAGAAGTTAATTTTTATTGAGAGAGGAAAACCGGAGAACCCAGAGAAAAACCCTTGAAGTACAGAAGAGAACCAACAAACAACTCTACTCACATATGACACTRAGCCTGGTGCGACTCAAACCTGGGTCACATTGATGAGAGGGGATACTCTTACCACTACGCCAGCCATACTTTCCAACTTATTTCTGGGGAGCCTGGACTCAGCATTACATGTGATTAGGGTGTTGGTCTCCCTAGGTTCAAGAGTCTTTCTCCAGATTCTCCACTTTTCTTTATTCACAGAACCCAGCACACTAAATTCCAATTTGACATTCAATCTGTAAGTTTAACCATCTCTTGTTTCATATGATCAGAGCAGCATATGTTTTCATTTTCAAAAAAATTGATGTAATTTTTAGTCAACTAGTGTTAGTCTCAAGTTTTGGAAACTATGAATATTTCATGCAATGTTTAGTCTTCTTTTAGTCTTAAAAAGCTTACCATCAAAACTTTTTACATAGTCAATTATTGGTTGTTCTATTGATGCATCCTTCAGATAATGGTTCAGATTGATACCTTGTATGTTATCAACTGTATCACTACCATGACTGTAGAGCTCCATCTTGTCATCAAGCTTTTCCACAATATCTTTGACAGGAGCTAAGAAAAAAATGTACTTTCAAAAGTCTGAAGACTTTCTCCTACTACGCAGCTGATTTGTATTAGAATCATTCTGCAATGCTCCAGTGGCAGATCTAGGGGTGGGTTTTGGGGTTTGCAACCCCCCCCCCCCCCTTCAATATGAGAGCCATCGTGATTTATCTTTTTTTTTCATGACAACACCAACAGCATCACAAGTTTTATTAAAACAGGGGTCCCGAACACATTTTGCTTGCTTTTTTTTCTATACACCATGTGTGGGACCTGAAACAACCATGCTCGCCTGCAGCAAATAATCATCATCATAAGACCTACTTCTGTTTGGGAACCCTGTGCTACTTTCCCGCCAAACAAGTACTTCAACCAATGCTACAACCCCCCCTTTGAAAAAATCCTAGATCCGCCCCTGTGCTCCATCCACTAAGTAGCTACTTAGGGGAGTGGGAGATGTGTGTCAACACTAACCCTCCAATAAAAAAATCCTAGATCTGCCCCTGTGCTCCATCCACTAAGTAGCTACTTAGGGGAGTGGGAGATGTGTGTCAACACTAACCCTCCAATAAAAAAATCCTAGATCTGCCCCTGTGCTCCATCCACTAAGTAGCTACTTAGGGGAGTGGGAGGTGTGTGTCAACACTAATAGCAACTGTGTAAGAAATTAATACTAAACCCTCCAATAAATAAATAATGCTTCTTTACCTTACAGAAAATCTTATCTTGAAACTATTCAGTRTACCTGAAATTTCACTGCTAAATATGAGAGCTTTTGCCTCAGATGCGGAAATGCAGTGATACAAGGAATCTAGTCGTAGATTGAAGTTAATCAGTGCTGTAATGACGCCAATCTTTGCTAACACAAGCCAAAGACAGACATATTCAGGTCTATTTTCCATAAACAGTGCCACTACATCTCCCTTTACAAATCCTTTGGACTTGAAGAAGTTTGCCACTTGGTTGGAATATTCATCTACTTGTTGRAATGTCCAGTTCTTTCCTTCAAACTGGACCGGAAGGCAACTTTGTGTGGGTATTTAGCAACAGTTTTCTGGAATACATCTGATATGCTGTGAGGCTTCTTACGATATGCATCTGCTTGAGCCAGTGTTGCACCAAAATAGTGTTGCAACAATCTGCAAAATTGAATGGTTTGGATATTTGAAAGGGTTATTCTGTATGGTGCACATGCTGTGTGTGTTAGTGTGTGTGAGTGAAAAGCATCCCCATATATTAATAATGCAAAAGGCCTATAATTTTTAAATAAGGTTTTATTTATTTATTTATTTGTGTGTTTATTTATTTATCAATCCCCAACCAATCAGAAGGTAAGATATATAACAGTTACTGTGTATAAATTGAGGTCAGATRGGGGGCACATACCGTATAAAATGCWTCCCTGYCGCAAATAAAGAAWGCTTTACATATAATAGTATTTATTTGGCTCTATTCTTAGCGAAACAATTTATAGACAATAGCAGCTAGCAAATTAACGTGCCCACAATCGTGTCTGCAAGTATCCAAACCAAAAAAGGCCAAAAATAGTTGAACAATCATCGTATCACACATGCTTTGTCTTGCATCGCAATATGCTCTAATTATCTTTAAGATTTATCTTCATTCTTACCTAATATCGCGCAGAAAAGTACGAAAAAACACCTTTGGAAAAGAAGGTCCACCAGACGCTAAAAATGCAATGAACCAAAGACCAGGRAATRCAATCMAGGGAAGAGAAAAGTAATGTATTGCTGAGGCAATGACTGCAATCACTAGGCTCCATGCTAGAAACATCTTCATCGTTCTCCTCCTCTAAAGGAGATAGAATAAATCTTTCCGACTATAGAGCAATTTTTTACTTCATGAGTCTCTCAAGCTCGAGTTTTCGTGATCAGGTTCCATTGGATGTTTTGAGTTTGTATTCTCAAATTTCCGAGCAAACGAAGTTTTGACGTCAGGGACTCGACACCTAGGCGAAACCTCCCCGAAGCTTCCACGAGTATTTGTCGATTACAGAATACATGCTCGCGGTTTGTTGTCACGACGATAACATGAAGCTTTTCCTTAGAGATTCGACATGGTCCAATACTGCCAATGAATTGTTCTAATTTTGTCTAATTGTAGGCACGATTTCCTAATAGTGATTTGTAAAATATTCCAATTCTTAATTTTATTGTGTTCTAAAGAGAAGATCGGAGTTTTGATCAGTTTTATGACTTCATTTTCACCTTTCGCACGTTGGCTTCTAGAATACCAAATTAGAAAATTTTACAAGCTTCGAAATGAGCTCAAAGTCCGTGTCCACAACTGTAGCCAAGAAACTGTAAGTATAAGTTAAACTACTAYTAGTAACATGAACTACTTATATTATAGGTTGTGAATAAAAATCGATTTAACTTCTATTTCCGTGATATTCTTCCTGCAGCTAGACAGCAAGAAGTGGTAATGAGTAGATAAGTTAACCAATACTAGGCTTATTTGCATTGCTTCTTGTTGTTGATGTTGTCGTTATGGTGCTTGAATGATGCTACAATATCCGTTAACTCTTTTTTTAACACGGCAGCTCAAGATCTAAAAGATAAATTACTGTTTAAGTTGAGTTCATTGACATCAGCTGTTTTGCAATTGTATGATCAGTGTTTTTGAACAGTATACTACTGTAGTTTTACAATAGAAGCTATTCATGAAGTTCTACTATATAAATAACAAAGAATCGTAAAGTATATTTAAACACACATCAAGTGAAATCGCATGCCACAGGTCACGTCTGATCATTAACACAAGGTATAGATTTGCAATCTTGAACTCTCGTTAGACTTTAAAATGAGCCCAAAAATGAAATTTATACTAGCACATATATCCTTGAATTATAAAAAGTAACTGTGTCATCCCATTTATAACCATTTCATTTTCTTGAAATCTTAAACATAGTCTTATTTTTTTACCAAAAATTTAAAGTTTATATTGCAACTTAGAACCAAATAAAAAGCTTTCTGAATCTTTAATTTGTCTTATGTGAAAATAAGTTTCTTCCACAGTAGTGTATTGTTTGGTTTTCAAAAGCTTAGAATGAAATTCACTCAATACACTGCTAAAATAATTGTAGAAGAAAATTATCAGAAGGAGAGTGAAAGAATATACATTGTAATTATATAATTGYAGCAACAACAAAAAACCATGGATAATGATTCCTTACATTTATGGTATTACATACATACTACAGTATAGTACGTAGTAGCTATGTTRTAGTTAAGGATGTCCTGTCCTGCATTGATGGTATTCTGGTATTATAATGAATCCTTAGTTAYGGACACACATCAGAACTAGCATTTCAACTAGAACTACTAATGAATTATTAATATGAAACTCATGAAATAATAAATTGTCAGAGTGTTCAAAGAGATCTCTCATTGGATTCTCATAAGTGTTGAGGAAGGATTAAAAAGAATGATGTGGCCCAGTCATCCAATCATATTCTTTCTTCTCTAACCATGSTATTCACTTGTTCGGCGATAGTCATGACTCAAATGGGTTCATGACCTTCAGGTTCTTGCTTCATAATTAATGAGTATAACAGTACTTTTTGTTTCTATGGATTCAAAACTAATTTTCAGTATTTCACATTACATTGACATGTCATTTAGATCTGAAACTCGAAAAATACGGACACACAAGTACTGCTGCATGSTGCTTAATTACTTAGGAGTCTTTTGACTTGTTTTTAATCAACCCCAACAGTTTCAAATCAACCAAGCTAGATTATTTTCGTGCTAAGAGTAATTTCACCAAGAAATTTGTGGATAAACTTATGAAAAGAAYTTCAAAATCTTCAACCAAACAAGGCTGCTGAAGAAACTCTTGTTTGTATTTCATTTCTAAGGATAGTGAGGATGAAAGTATTGTAGAMAAGGGGTGAGAATGAAAAAGTTGTTTCCTAAGAATGCTTTGTAAAAAATAACRATTTTTCTAGCTGTGTTCAAAACTCAAAATCAGGAGATGGTGATGAGAGTTTTATATTTTCATATACTTTGTGACTTAATTTATTTTCAGTAAATATTATCTGGATGTAAAAAGAAGAGAAGACGCATTTGATTTATCAGGGCCATACCTTCCAAAAGAAGACCCAACTCCWCTAAGAGCTGTAAGTAAAACTTCTAAGTTCAGGTTTTGTTGTGATCAACTTATTATTWATCATCATGATTAACAACATGAGCATGTTATAAATGTCAGAGATATGTTGGTAAAATGCTGTCGTTTGGTGATCTAAGTACATGCCAACACCAGAYATGTCCTTTAAAGCATGTTATTATAAAAGGCCGTCTTGTTGGAAATCCACCTAGATGCAATCAACGGTAATAGAAAAGGAACATTGTTTGTTTGCCTCAATAAAGACTCTAGAAGCTACAGTATAATTATAGCACGCACGCATGCCTCCAGCAAGCAAAGGACTCTAAGTTATACTACTTGTTTATAAGCTTGCTTGCCTATATTCTACATTCTTCTTGTCAGTAAGCTTATATCATGAGGCAGACACATGTTTACAAATTATCATGTTTCCTAATATTAAACTTTCATATCATGATGATATATTTTAGGGTCCTACCCTAGCATATGATGGTATACACGACAGAAGYTTGAAGCACTACTTCAGAAGAAACAGTATTAAAAAACACTTGCAACACATGACAGTACCTGCCATGATGAGCAAATCAAGGGAAAAGGCGATTAGGCGTTAYGTAGATGAAACTATGGCAACCGTGGACTATCGTCTGAAGCCRGGGCCAATCTCTCCCTATGCATTTCCTCAGACATTTAAGCCTCAGCCTCCACCACAGAGACCAAAGGCTTTGAGGACAGTAGATGAGTATTTTAGGACTCGTAAAGGTTCTAAAAGAAGGTATGCTTATTGAAATTGTTTGTTAACTGTTTTTTATAGCTCCCTGATTTTTTTTTGGGGGGGGCAGGGGTGTTTCACTTATCACAGCAGAGGGAAAGACGAGGTAACTAAATAAACAGGCGGAATAAATCGTTAAGTGATAAAATGAATAAATAAACTAAATACTGTAGTCATTATTGTATAGAACGGTCTGAACCCATCAGGCCAGGTAAATGAATGTTAATCGAAGAACTATGATCGTCCGGGTGGATGTAGTCCTGAGAAGGACTATTTGATGTGACTAACGTTTCGACAACCTGAGCGGAAGTCATCTTCAGAGTCAAGTGAAGAATAAAGTCAGATTGGTCATATTTATACTGCCACGATAAGAATAGCCTAATTACCTGGATTAGCGTAATTGACAGCATTGGTCTACTCGCACTCATTATTCCACTTCATCCACCCRGATGATCATAATAATTATTCTATTAAGACTGTAGTCATTGTTTTATGAAAATAGGGCTTAAAATAGCCTGTCACTAAGAAACSTATGGCTCATCGTTCCATAATCAAATTGTGAGTTAGAAGTAGAAATTTGACGAGTGAGGAAACTCTACTCACATGTAAGTATATATGCCACTGAGTCCAGGAATCATACTTTGGTTGCATTGATGACGAAATGCAAGCACTCTCAATATTGAATTGCAGTTGGGTTATCAATTAATTATGTATCAAAATGTATAGGAAAATGCCAGTTCATGTTGTTGGTAAGCCAAGAAGAATTGCAAGAAGTTCTCCCCCTGAACATATCCACAACTAYGAGAGAGAACGTCTTGTGAACATGGCTAGCAAACTCATCGTAGCCACAGTAAGTACTTTTCTTTTATAARCCTGTGTACTTGCTCTTACCCCTCCCCCTGTAGGTAAAACATTTCCCCCATTTTTCTTACAGGGGGAGGGATAAGAGCAGCTTAACACAGGCCAAATTGAGGCTTCTCTTTTAAAGTTAAGATAACTTRATTTAATTTGTGTAATTTTTTTGCAGGAGACAGTTGCTCTTCCTCAACAAAAGAAACAAAGCAAAGGATTTCAAACCTCAGGAAATGTAGGTTAAAGAAAATAGAGAATATTAAGCGTCTGGCTAGCCTCCTATACATGTGAAAACGCTTTTATGTTTCCACGTGAACATGAGGCTAGCTACTAGGCAGTCACTAGTCAGTGCAGAATGATAWAGTTTTTCAAATTGATCGCCATATTTTGATTCAGTGTAGATGTCATTATACCTGATCAGTTCTTATACCAGGGTTYGTGCTACTCCTTAAACTCGTWGAAAACTCCTTGAATTTAATTYAYGTTTTCAAGGGCACTTGAAAAGCTCTTGAATTTTATGATTTTAGCRAAACTCCTTGAATTTTTGCTTTGATCATTACTTGCATGGTTCTGAAATAGATCTAGTCAACAAAAAATCGGAAAATCTGTTCATGTGCAACCACCGTGTAAAACCTTGGCATAGTTAGCTGAACATACTCCTTGAAAATTCATTTTTGGGTCCTTGTATACTCCTTGAATAGTCCTTGAATTTTAAGTGGTTACCTCAGCACGAACCCTGTTATACCTTCTTTGGCTGTGTGTTCAGGAATTCCCAAGTCTAGAGAGAAGTTCAAAAAGTACAGGATCAAGTACTTCAGGTCATGAGTCTGAGGGCTCAATCAATGGAAGAACTCCCATGCCTCCAAGGGTAGGTATCTTATATATCTCCTTAATAAAACTTGAAATCATGTTTTGGATTGGAAAATCACTTTCCAGACTAGTAGAAGTACAGTGTATAGGAGGGCAGATTTTGTATAATTTAACAATTTATTAACCAGGCAAAGTGAATATCGGGGAATAAGAACCAAAACGAAGTTGAAGTCATTATTCCTGATATTCACTGAGCCTGATCGGAGGTGAATAATTGTTTTAGTATAAATGTACAGGTAATTCTTTCAAAAAAAGGAAAAAAAAGGAGATAAAAGACCTGGTAACAGTAACAAAGCTGGACAGCAACAGCAACATTTGTTTTACATGAGAAAGAATTCAATTCCTTAGAGCAAAGGGATTTTATTGTTCTGACATCTAACCTCACTAGGCAGTCCAAGCTGGATTATCTATCTATTATAATTGACATATTATTTAACAATTATTCGCCGAAGACAAAGTGATTATCGGGGAATATTTACCAAGACACGAGTCTTCGAGAGGCGAGGTAAATATTCCCCAATAATCACTGAGCATGAGGCGAATAATTGTTTTAGCATAAATACACAGGTGATTCTTTCAAAAAAAGAAAAAAAAGAAGATAAAAGGCATTTTTTTCCCGGTAACAGCAACAAAATGGCTGCCTGCCATTTTCCATTTTCGCTTGAGGTGATTATCGTGTGATAGTGTGAGTTTTCTGACCAATCAGCACTCGAGATTTTCTATAATCACCTGCATATTTTTACTAATATTGAATATTATTCAAATAAGATTCCAGTCTTTCTTCAAATACCTTTTTGATTGTAATCATACTCATAGCTGAACCCATTTGTTCTATTGTAATTGATGCCTGGGTTTAACCATCTCTGATTGCAGTTTAAACGTACTTATGCCCCACAGCAAAGGCCTCAGTCATCATTCTTCAAGTCCTCGTCACTGGATGAGACGGGCAGGAAGGGGAAGAGTGGAGTTCATGTGGTCGTCCCTGATTCAAGTGAAAATGAAAAATTAAGGTGAGAAGAGGCAAAGCTTGGTTTGAATGAAGGAGGAAGAGAGGAAGAAAGGGAAGGGAAAGGAGGGAGTAAGGGAAGGGAAAGGAGGGAATAAGGGAAGGTGAATGGAAACAGGAAAGGGAGGAGAATTGTGCAGTTTATGGAAACAGGGAAGGAATGAAAGAAGAAGAAAAGAAGGAGGGAGGGTAGGAAGGAGGGAGGGTAGGAAGGAGGGAAAGTAGGAAGAAGGTAAGAGGAAGTAGGAAGGAGGGAGAGTAGGAAGGAGGGAGGAGGAAGTAGGAAGGAGGGAGGAGGAAGTAGGAAGGAGGGAGAGTAGGAAGGAGGGAGAGTAGGAAGGAACGGTGTATGGAACGAGAGAAGGAATAAAATAAAAGAAGAGAAGGAAAGAAGAAGAGAAGGAAGAAAGAAAGAAGGAAGGAATGAAGTAGAGTCTTACACAAAGCTATACTGTGACATCCATAACTTCTAAATAATGAGTCTAGTACAAGGATTTCTAATGATGCCTAACCGAAAAATAACAAACATTACAAATTATGCCTCAGTTTAGAAGTTCTATAGGAYTGAATTAACATCACCAATGTAATCCTCCAAATGTTTTCAATCAGATTCCTGATGGACAGGATGAACCTYGATGGGCGTGGCTCTAGTATTGTCATCTCGCCTCGTGAAATTGAAAAGCCAAGACCAAAAAGTGCAGGGTACCCATTAAAGAGCACCGCAAACAYGGCTGTAGAAACTGACCTCCCTGATTACTCTGATGATGATYTCTGTAGTGAYGAGGAATCATCACCGAGAGAGTCGGCAAGGACACCGAGGTTGTCCTGGGTCGAGAATAAGGAGAGCGACATGATTGACACTTGCACACAGACTGTCGTTCATTCAGGTATGTTTTTGACAGCTTTTCTATTGCTTGTGGCACCCAACCTCCTCAGACAAAAATGCCAAAAGTGGCACCCGACCACTTACCACAGCTTCCCGAAAGCRACACGAAGTCTGACCACTTCCGATGTTATCCCGAAATTGACAGACCAATAGCCCATTTCCGAGATATGCTTCGCTTGTCACGCACAAAGGTTTCAGTATGAGGCTACGTGCTAAATTAAATTTATTCTTACCGCCTGTCACGGATGACTGAGCATWTAGCACRTAGCCTCATACTGAAACCCTTGTGCGTGACAAGCTATTACAAGTGGGCTATTACAGACCACTTCCYAAAATCCTCATTTAGTATAGCATCGGTCTCTTTTTGACGTTTTTCCTTTTTTTTTCAGCAACGCAAACGAAATTCCYCGAATACGACCAAGAACAAGGCGAAAGAGAATTTGTTTTCCCTTCCAAACTCCACTGGGCTGACAGAGGGCAACTTGACCAGACAGACGGTAGACAGCCCGTTGTCATAGCAACTACGGGGGCTTCGACGTCAGACGTGTTGACAAGTGGTACATCTACCTCTGCATCGCACGAAACGCAAACGCGAAACCGTGACCTGGAACCTACAGGTAGTTAAAAACAGTAGTTAGAACTTCTAGCCCAAAACATGTGCGTCCTCGATTGACGTTTCTTAACAAGCTTTTTTGTCATCTTCATTCCTTAAAAGTTTGTTTTCAAATTTTATAAAACAAGGTTTGGTAAATTCGATCGAAATTTTGATGCCAAATTTTGTCAAAAAATTGTACGCTTTTTAGTTTGAAGTAATAGCTGTTATAACAGTTGAGCCTGCATTGTGATATCCTTTTGTTTTAAGAATCATACAAATGGGGCTATCRTGTCGRTACAATGCTTGTKGTCTCATTTGCATCTTATTTTGCATGCATCCATAATATCTGCCAATGAACGCAAACTTCCTGTTTACATAACCTTCTCCTTATAAGTTTGTTTAAATCCTTACTGTCAATTCCATTGTCGTTAAGAACAGTTATTTACAACAAATGAGTTCCRCGGCTTATACCAAACTTCCCGAATTCGCTCATTAACTCATTTTATCTTCGCTCATTAACTCATTTCAACACTGTTAAAATATCCTTGATTGAACGTCTGCGAAGACCAAAATATTTTCTTTCCAAATTTTTAGGGTCAATGTTGACAGGTTGACATCTTTATGCTAAACGTTCCAATAATTTTTGGCTGTAAATCTCAGTAAATATAAACTGYTTTCAAAGAGATTTTCATTTTGGAAAGGGAGGATATTTTTTTTCGCATGGGAGGGGATGCTGTATTTTTCTTTCTTTTTTATCTTTTTAACATCTTTTTTCAACGGTTTTTTTTCTAGCGAAAATTAGTTTTTTTTTCTTGGTCTGAGAATATAAATATTCACTTATGCTCGTGTTTGCCGTTTTCTTCTGGTTTCTTTTGTGTTTTGTAGGGGAAAAAAATCTCTCAAGGGTTTTCAGTCCCTAAGTACATTTGCAAGGYTTTCTAAATTTAGCTAGAACTCGATAAAACAATGAAAAAGAATAAATTGATTCCGAAGCGTCATATTTCACTGTCAGGTCAAACAAACAAGAACATTCAATCCACTAACATAATGTCAAGAAGTCACCAACGAGTGTACGATTCCTCTGAATCCCCCACTCAGCTTTTGGAGGTTTTGAGAAGAGAATATCGATTTTAAAATCATGGGAAATGGAGCGACGAAGACCAGAAAAGGTTTRAATTTTGTCTCTGAGTGAAAAGGTTTTTCGGAATTCCGGTAACATATTCTAAAGTAATTCTTGGCGCTCGTCGTTCAAAAATGACAAATATTGAACTCCATTTTAGCTCGTTTGAAAAGGAGTGTCTTCCGAAAATCAAAWCTTTTCTGCGAAATAATATAAAAGAAACGATGTCAACGATGTATTGAAAACGTTTCGACTGAATATTATGGAAAGACATCGTAGAACAACATGAGTAGGCTACAAATGTTTTTTACTATATTTTGTTGACACAGAATAGGCTAACAGTAAGAGTTCAGCGACATTGATCTGTACCTATTGTAAAATATTTYATGCGTAATTAGCTACGATAGCGGTCAGATTTCGATCTTTTTAGCCAACTTTTCTTATTTATAATGCTTATAAATCTCACATAATGACTATGTATTTGTTCTCATTGTAGTAAYGTTTAGTCACGCAATGAAATTATCGTCACGAAGTTCTTTTTAAGAACTGCCTCGTTGGTACATCGCATTAACGTTCTGATAAAACTAGGAATATCAATCAATCACGTAATTATTTACCGCCATTTCCAGTCAAAAGTGTAAACTGAAACACCGTTATTCTCTACTTTCACATCCCCATAATGCCTTGCGTCTTT